AGTCTGCAAAGGCCCTAAGAAGCATGAATTTATGAGTGTTTTCAGCTTTCGTTTGGGCATGTCCTCCATTTGTGTCTTGAATGTCCTACATTTTGTAATGGCTTGTCCTCCTTTGAGGTTAGGACATCTGGTCACCCTGTGGAAGGATTACTGAAGGAAATCAAGGAAGAAAGGGCAAAAGCAGGTTTGCAGTTGGACATTAGGAAAGCAGTAATCGTGACCACAAATGATTTACATAACTTGGAATGAGATTATGAAAAAACTGAGATAGTTTACCTGGTTTAAGATTTTCCAAATCTTGACTCAGAAATAGTGCAAATTGAGTCCACTTTTAGGGTTAGGGTTAGGGTTAGGGAATCATGGGAACTGTATTTTATTGTGGCACCAGAGCTCTCTGACAGAGAAGGCTCAATGTCTCAGAAAAAAATTCCCACGATTCCCTAGCACTAACCCTAACCCTTAAAGTGGACTCAATTTGCACTATTTCTGGCAGTCTGCAAAGGCCTAGAGTTCTCTTTTCAGAGCCTGCTATGTGCTGTCGATGCTCTCGTCTATGTAAATCATATGATGGAAAATGTGGAGTGCAATGCTTGAAAGAAATTAATCACATTGGAACCAGTGGCCTTTCTCAGAAAAAGAGACAGAGACCGTGATTATTACTCTCTTAAAACCCTGTAGAGGAGGGAGGATATGAAGACAGTGTGTATTAATGAAGACCAGGGGTAGGCAACCTAAGGCCCGGGGGCCGGATACGCCCCCCCAAGGCCTTTGGATCGGCCCCAGGCTGGTCCTGCCGCCGCCCGCCATGATGATATTGATTATTGTTGTTATTACTTGTTCTTGGGGTTTTTGTGGCAAAATCTCCACAGGGGTTTTGCCATGGCTTTTCTGGGGCTGAGAGAGTGTGTATGCATATATTTTTAATTTTTTTTAATTTTTTAAAATTTTTTATTAATTTTTATTTATTTATTTTGGGTGCTTCGGCCCCCCAATTGTCTGAGGGACAGCAACCCGGCCCCCGGCTCAAAAAGGTTGCCTACCCCTGATCCATACTGTCATAGTTCCCAGTTCTGTGTATGGTTGTGAGAGCTGGACAGTGAAGGGAGTGCAGTTGTCCCTCCACATTTGCGGCTTTGACTTTTGTGGATTTGATTATTTGCGGGTTTGATTAATATGTTCTCTCTAGGAATCTAGTTCCTCCAGCGCAACTCCGCCAGATGTTGACCATAGGGTTGTGCTGGAGAACCTTGAAGTTCCTAAAGAAAATACTTTTCTAGGCATTTATAGGTCCTCCAGCATGATTCTATGGAGTTTATCACACAGGAGGTTAAGTGTCCAAATCCCGTGCAGAAACTGGATTTAAATTTCGGGAGTATCCCACAAAAGCAGGACCATTTTCAGACACATTGGGGGCATTGAGCATTAATCCGACATTAACCCGCACAGAATGTGAATGAAATCGGTCCCGCTTTTGCGGGATTTGTCCACTTTCTGTGTGGGTTGATTTCGGATTAATGCTCAGTACGTCTGAAACCAGTCCCGCTTTTGTGTATTTAAATCCCATTTCTGCATGGGATTTGGCTGATTCCCTTCCATGTGATAAACTCTTTTGATCAACCTCTGGCAGATGTTGACCATAGAGATGCACTGGAGGACCTGGAGATTTCTTGAGAGGTGTTCTCATAGATAAAAAGAATAGTGTATTGTTTTTTTAATTTGCAGCTTTCCCACATTTACAGGGGTCCTTGACTCCCCAGCGAACGTGGAGGGACCACTGTAGATAGGAAGAGAACCAGGAGCATCACTATGGGGGTGCAGGCTGTTGTGGGGGGTTATGTTCCCAAACGTTTATCTTTTGGCAGAAATAAGCGGTGGTGTTCATTCACCCCTTTCAAATGCTTGCACTCAGCGGAAAAGAAGGCATGAGTGGGGTGAGGTGGAGAAAGGAGAGGCATCAGAGTTTTTCTTTTAAATTTACTCTTTAAATTTTCTTTAAAAACATCACATCTTTCCAAATTTTCACTTTAAGCACTTTAACTAGTAAACACATTTAGGCTGTGTATGTGATATTGTAATTTAAAGGTATAATTTTAATGTTATTAGTTGTTCATGTCACAACTTTTGCCATTACAGTTGCTTTGACTTTTGCAGCTATGTTTATTCACATATTTGATTAATATGTTCTCTCTAGGAATCTCTAGGTCCTCCAGTGTGACTCTGTGGTCAGCTTCCACCAAAAGTCATGCTGGACGACCTAAAGATTCCTATAGGACATTTCTCCAGGCATTGTAGGTCCTCCAGTGCAATTTTATGGTCAGCTCCCAGCAGATGTTGACCATAAGAGTTGCCCTGGAGGACTTAGAAATTATTAGAGAGATGTTCTCTCTCAGGTTTAAAAAATGTGTTTTCTTATTGGTGGTTTTTCCACTTTCATGGGGGCCTTGTGCTCCTAACCCCAACAAATGTGAAGGGTCAATTGTATATTCATTAATATAGGGGAATTACGATTTATGAGTAACATTAGTACAAAATACATTACTAAAGATTCTGTATGGTGTGATATGGGAGGACATCCATGGGCAGAATGAGTTACCACACCAGATGACATCAACCCTAGTATTGCCACTGATGTATGTTTTCAAATAGGCATAATGTTTGTTAAATTTTCATCTTTTTCTAGATGAAGATAACAACTCCTAAGAATATAATCATGTTTTACAAACATAAAAGTGTCAGATGGCTTCAAGTTTGTTTAATACCAGAAT